CGAATGGACAGTGTGGCAATGGTGTTGTCCAAGACGATCACTTCTAATAAGTAAGGAAGTGGAGCAACGTCTGTTTCCAAAAAATCCTCAATATCCACAGTATCCTCAGTTCGTCTTAAGGAAGAAACTAATAGAGCAGCTTTGTTGGCTAAAGCAGCCACTTTGAAGGAAAGACAGGCATTGGAAATGAAAGAAGCAAAGCTAAAGGCTGAAATGGAAAGGTTGGAAATAGAAACGGCTCTTGCAATGTCTAATGCCAAAATTAAAGTGTATCAAGATTGTGAAGAACAACAACAACAGTATGCAAGTCAAAATGGGGCTATCCAGGCAGCTGATGTATCCATTCCAAAACAGGAGCATTATGAATATGATGAATACAGTGTATCATCAAATCAAGGCAAAAAGTCATCGCATCCTGAAGTAATTCACTCAAGTATACCTGTAAGTGTCAGACCTAAGAAAACAAACGCTGCTAAGGAATGGTCAGCACCAGTCAATGAAGTATCTGGCCGTAATAATGATACATCAGAACTTCAAAGAGTGATGCAACGTCAGACAGATATCACAGCAATGCTCGTGAAGAATCAACAGATGTCTTGTCTACCTCAACGTGATGTTCCTTTGTTTCATGGAGATCCACTTGAGTTCAGGTCTTTTATGAAAGCGTTTAAACATGCTGTTGACTCCAGAGCTGACAGTAGTGCTGACAAGTTGTACTTCCTGGAGCAGTATACTAGAGGTGAGCCTAGAGACCTTGTAAAAAGTTGTCAGCATATGCCAGATGATCATGGTTATGCAGAAGCAATGAGACTCTTGCACGAGAAGTTTGGAAATGAACTGAAAATTGCAACAGCCTTAATGCAAAAGACATTCACATGGCCTGAAATAAAGTCAGAGGATGGAAAGTCTTTAAGTGCATTTTCATTGTTCCTAGTCACTTGCCGCAACGTAATGGAGGACATTGAATATATGGATGAGTTGGATAAAAAAAAAGTGAAAGTGATGTGACATGTGGCCAAGTGATGGTGACTCATACTTGGAATTAGTGCTCTGCATTTAAGTACATCAGTCACCAGTGCCTTCACAAAACCTTGTGCATTCTGTGAGAAAGGCCATACCTTGGAGCAATGTTACCAGTTCGGTGCTAAGCCATATAAAGACAAATTGGACTTTTTAAGAAAGAATGGATTTTACTTTAAATGTTTAGTGAAAGGACACTTAAGTAAAGACTGTAACAGAAGAAGCACATGTCAGCTGTGCTCAAAGAAACATCCTAGCATGTTACACTTAAACACACAAGACAAGATTCCTGAGAAGGAAATGTTAAAAGTTGAAAAGACTGAAGTTACCACAAAGTCCAAAAAGAGTTATAAGTGTGTGGAAGTGTATGCCTTTATGGACCCAGGCAGCTCTGCCACCTTTTTTACTGATGCACTAGCAAGACGGTTGAATGTCGAGGGTAGAAAGATTGACATGATGCTAAGCACCATGAACTCAAAGAAACGAGTGGAAAGTTATGTGCTCACCGACTTGGAAGTGAGTGGATTGGAAGAGAACAACTTTATTGAACTTCCCAAAGTGTTTACGCAGATGAGCATACCAGTGTCAATGGAACCCTTACGAAAAAGAAGTTTATTCAAGTGTGCTATTAGTATACTTCTTTTAAACTAAAAATAGATATTTGTATACTTACTACATAAAGTATACTTAAAAATATACTTGAACTTTACTTAAGTATACTGGCTAAAATAAACTTGAAGTATACTACTTTTTGGTAAGGGAAAACATTCCACAACAACATGACGTTGACAAATGGCCATACCTCAGCGAAGTGAAGTTGCCTCACATTGATGCTGGAGTGGAAATCCTTATAGGAAACAAGGAGTTCAAGCTTTTGGAACCTTGGAAAGTAATTAATAGTAAGCACAATGGGCCGTATGCAGTGAAGACTGCCCTCGGATGGATTTTGAACGAACCTGTTGAAGAAAGCATGCATGGAGATGCACAAACAAACATTACAGTCAACAGAATCTCCATTGAGAGTGTGGAACAGATGCTGATACAACAGTACAACCACGATTTTCCTGAAATAAATTGTGATGACAAAGCTGAATTGTCGCAGATGGATCACCAGTTTTTGGAATCTGTGTCTGATTCAGTGCAGTTTTCCGATGGTCACTGTTACATTGACCTTCCTATCAAGAAAACGGTTGTCCAAATGCCTAACAATCGAAGTGCTGCTGTCCAGCGAGCTCTAAATATCAAGAAGAAATTTCATCTTTCATGAAGAGTACACAAACTTCATGACTGACACGCTAAGCAAAGGTTATGCAGTCAAGGTGACTACATCACACTTAAGTCGTCAAGATGGTCAAGTTTGGTATATACCTCACCACGGGGTATACCATCCTCAGAAGAAGAAACTGAGAGTGGTGTTTGACTGTGCTGCCAGTTTCCAAGGAATGTCTTTAAATAGTGAGCTCCTACATGGTCCAGACATGACAAATTCACTCAATGGAGTGCTCACTCGCTTCAGACAAGAGTCAGTTGCCATGATTGCAGATATTGAAGCTATGTACTACCAGGTGAGAGTTCCTGAAAAAGACAGTGACATGCTCCGCTTCCTATGGTGGCCAGATGGAGATGTAAATCAGAACTTGGATGAGTACAAGATGGTTGTCCATATCTTTGGAGCTAAGTCATCTCCAAGTGTAGCTAATTTTGCCCTTAGGAAAACAGCAGAAGACAATCGGAGCAAGTCATCAGTTGAAGCAGTCAATACAGTTCTCAAGAACTTTTATGTAGACGACTGTTTAAAGTCTGTTTCAAGCTCTGCTCAAGCAGTTGCCTTTCACAATGATCTCACAAAACTTTGCGCGAGTGGAGGATTTCGTCTTACAAAATGGGCAAGCAACAGTTGTGCATTGTTGGCCTCTATTCCGGAAAGTGAAAGAATTGCAAATGTCAGAGACTTTGATTTGAGCAAAGATGCACTTCCTGCAGAGAGAGCATCAGGGGTGTTATGGTGTGTCAATTCAGATGTGTTCAAATTCAAGATCAATTTGAAAGAAAAACCTGTAAACAGAAGGGGAATACTGTCAGTCACAAGCTCCATCTATGACCCCCTGGGCTTTCTCGCACCTGTAATATTGCCATCAAAGATTCTAATGCAACAGTTGTGCAGAGAAAAACTTGTATGGGATGATGACATTCCAGAACAGAGTGCAGAAAAGTGGATTTCCTGGTTACGCGGGCTAAATCAGTTGGCTGACTTCAGTGTACCAAGGTGTATAAAACCAGTTGACTTTGGAGTGTCCACTTCTGCGCAACTACATCACTTCTCAGACGCTAGCGAGGTGGGATATGGAGTTGTTTCATACCTCAGACTGTTAAACGTTGATGGACTCGCACATTGCGCCTTCATGATGGGGAAGTCTCGTGTGGCGCCATTGAAGCAGATCACCATTCCACGTATGGAGTTGACTGCTGCAGTTGTTGCTGTTAGAACAGACAAGATGCTGAAAGATGAACTGGAACTAGAATTGCATGAATCTGTATTCTGGACTGACAGCACCACTGTTTTGAGATATATTGACAATTGAAATGGTCTTCGTTTCAAAACGTTTGTTGCCAACAGAATTGCCATCATACGAGAGTCAACTAGACCACAACAGTGGAGGTACGTCAATACCTCAATGAACCCTGCTGATTGTGCATCCAGGGGACTTACTTGTGAAAGGTTCATGAAAAATGTGAGCTGGATCAATGCTCCTTCTTTTCTCAAAGAACCAGAAAGCAAGTGGCCTGAGACAAATCATGACCTATCAACAAATGTGGATGACAGTGAGGTTAAACACTCAGCCTCAGTAAATCTTGTGTGTGCAGTGGATGGCACAGATGCTGTGAACAAATTGATCAATTACTACTCCGATTGGTACAAATTAAAGAGAGCCGTGGCATGGATCCTTCGTTTCAAAGACATGGTTATACAGCGCAGCAATCAAATAACAGTCAAAAACAGAAAAGTTCGGAGTTGTAAAACAAATTCCACAGCGGAAAACTGCAAAGCTCTAACAATGCAGGACTTAACAAGGGCTGAAAATGAGATCATCAAGTTCACTCAAAGTCAAAGAGTCAAAGAAGAAATATCCATGTTGCAAAAAGGTTCTCCATCTGTGAAAAAGAACAGTTGCCTTTCTAAAATGGATCGAACACTTCAGGATGGATTGCTAAGAGTTGGAGGTCGTCTTTGAAGACACTTCTTCTTTACATTTTCTGTTGATGTTAAAATTAGCTGTATTGGTTGTAATGGGCAGAAGTTAAACTGCAGTTTCCAGTGAGAAACTGTGACTCCACCACAACTGAAACAACCGGTCACTTTTATCTGGGTTGCTATTTAAGGTAAACTATTACATTTGTTTTGAATTAGAAATTATTTAATTGTAAATTGTTACAACTGTCAAGACAGACAACAAATGATGCTTATATCATGTATATTTCACAATAAATTATGCTTATACCGTGTACATTTAAACTTGATTTCTAAAAACACAGCTCACCTCAGAATGCTTGCTACAGATCTTCTTGTATTCAGCTCTATTCTATCAGGTTGGTATTTTTTTTCTTGTTTGCATATCAAAGTTTGACTTGATTTATATATTCATTTTACACACACACACACACACACATACATACATACATACATGTACATATTAATATGTGTGTGTGTGTGTTATATTTTTTTCAGTTATTATTAAGTCTAATTATAGCACATTTGTATTCCAGCTACTTGGTGTCAGTCAGTCCTGAGAGTATCACTCCCCAAAACCCTCAACAGCACCAGCGGCTCTTGCCTTCTGATTCCCTGCCTATTCAACATTTCAAAGGAGAAAGAAAGCATTCTTGACAATTCACCAGTAGTAACATGGAGACGAGGATCTCTGTGGTCACTCTATGATACAGATCGTTTCACCATCGCTCACCATCAGATGGAACCTGTGATGGAAGTGGTGGGTGACCTACGAAAGAAGAACTGTACTTCTGTCATGAGGAACCTCAGCAGCCAGCATTCAGATCGTTACTTCTTCAGGATTGAAACTAAGACCTTCACTACGACTGAAACAAGAGCTGTGTATATAAATGTGTCAGGTAAGGCAGAGCAAATGTTTCGATAATAAACCAAGACATTACCAGCACCAAGTGTTTTCAGTGGCCTCAAATCTTTGAAAAATGTCAAGAGTTATGACAAGGCACAATTAGCTAGATATACAAGTAGTTCTACAAAAATTCAATCGAGTTATTTTTTACAGTCGCTAGGACCCATTTCTCAATATTAGCTCACTTTTTCAAAACAATAAATTATTGTTTAAATATATTATTGTAGAAATGTAGTAAATTGCTGTCTTATTCAGTTTTTGTTATGTTTTGAGCTTAAATGAAGAGACTGTGTTAACGTGCAAATTGGCCTGTAGGTTCATTGAGTTTTGGAGGTCATTGTGTTCAGAATTCATGTAATTTTGAAAGAAGTTTTTTGCAATCATTTTGTCACCAATTTCAGAACCTTGATGTCATTTTTCAAAACTCTAGGCACAAAACTCAAAACAGTCATTATTTGTAGCACAGGCTGTCCAATGTTCAAAATGTAGCATGTTACATGTATATCTTTAAAGAAGCCTTGCATTTGCAGAACCATTGGTTCAAGTAATTCATTTATCTTGAAATACCATATGCACGTTACTTTAGATCCCCCACACACAGGATACCCATAGTTTCAATGTGTAGTGTTAGTACAATCATTAAATATAGTTGTACAAAATGCATGATGCAGGTTTCATTATGGTTCTACATAATTATACATCATTGTAATAGACTAGAGAGAAAAGTGCAGACACTGGAATCATTGAACAAAATCTGAAAATTATTGATAAAATAATCAACTCACAACATAGGTTTTTCAAAAATTTAGAAAAGAAAAAAACAACAACAGTACAGTAAAATGTCAACTGGAGTGTTCCTCACTGCACTTCTGTGTTTCATCAACCTTATCTTGTGGATTTGGCCACAGGTTCTCATCTTTATCACAATAAATGTTTTCATTAGCTAAACATCTTCTGGCATAACAAAAACAGGCTTGACATTGGTCTCCTGTGATGTCATTGCAAGCATCATCCATGGCCTGGAGAAGAGTGACTTGTTTGTGAGGGCGCCTATTGTAAACCTTCCACTTCCATGTAGAGGAAAATTCCTCAGTCGAGTTAAGGAAAGGGGAGTATGGGGGTAAATACAAGGTGATAAATGTTGGATGGGCCTGAAACCATGATTGGTTTCGCTAGGAATTCTGGGCCCATTGCACTGATTTTGCTATGGGGCCCCCTCAAAATTACAGGTGGTCGGGCCCCCCAGAGAACATCGTTCTGGGCCCCTCTCAACCGCTGGGCTCTCAACCTCTCCTTCTTGTCATGGCCAGGTTAAAGCCTGCCTCATCCAAAAATATGAATGGTTTTCATCAGCATCCAGCTCTCATCACCCTCTAAAAAGACTGTAGGAAAAACAAACACTGATAACAATGATATAGAATTTTGGGGGATTTTTTTTTCTCCCAACAATTGATCATACCTGAACATACTCAGTCCTCAGTAGCTTCACTTTCATAGTCTAAACATGCATTGTTCATTTTCTATATATATAAAAAAAACTATGCATCAAGAGTTATGCAACAGTTAGAATTTTGAGCAGATGTATCAACTGATAGTAGATCATTGTAATGAAATGAATAGACACTCAACTCAGATGTAATGTGTGAGTTGCATTTTTACATAGTAATACTTTGATGTTGATTTTGAACTGGTGATTTTAGTTTAATGAACAAATGATCTTAGGTTTGTGTGTCGTATCCAAGCATTTGAAAAAAATGAAAAATGTGCATTTTGATCATCGGTTGTGAATTATTTGTCTAGAGTTTTGAAAAATGACATGAAGGTTCCAATATTAGTGCAAAAATGATTGTAAAAAAAAAACTGTAAATAAATGTATTAACTACGTCTTGACATTTTTCCATTTCAATGAAAAAAAAGAAGTAATTTTCATGGTAAATTTATTATCAGATTTTTTGTTATACTGTCTAAGTTGTTTGCATGAAGCATTGTAAAGTCATATCATTTTAATCATGCAGTGTTTTCTGAGCTTCTATTAGGCATAGCTAGTGTGTGTCAAAGATATTGTGTCAAGTTAGAATAGCAAGTTTCAGCACGGCTACCAGTGTAGGGACAGTTGCAACAGTCCCAACATGCTGTCCCTTACCACAACATTGGTGTAAAAGCTTGCCATAACATTACAAAATTGTAGTTTTATGGATTAATAAAGAACCCATTTCAATGGTTAGGTATCTCTCCTTTTTTAAAGTAAATAGGTTTTTAAGGCAAGTTAAGGCAATTTATTTCTAAAGTACAATTAAAAACAATAATAAGTTGACCAATGTGCTGTACATTCTAAAACATAAACAAACATACAATGTACACACATCTGTTACACAGCACAGGATATCAAACCATTCAACATTAAAAATTTAAATATATTAAATTAAAAAAATAAAACTGAGGTTCCAACAAGTCACTGAGCAGAATTCTCCAAAAAAAAAAAAAAAAAAGCCTGGGAGAAGAGATGAGTCTTTAAAAGCGACTTAAATGACACCTCTGTGGAGGCAGTTCTTAAGTGCAAAGGCAAACTGTTCTAGCACTTCGGGGCCAACACTGCAAAATCACGGTCCCCCGCAGTTTACGTCTCGACCTAGGAACGATCAGGAGTTTTTGTTCAGAGGACCTGAGAGATCTTGATTGTGAGTAAGGTTGTAACATAAGATGGTGCAAGGCCATTTAACGAATTAAATAAAAACATCAACATTTTTAAATCAGTCCTATAACGGACCAGCAACCAATGTAAAGATGACAAAATGGGAGTGATATGGTCCCATTTCCGAGAACTTAATCGTGACAGCATGTACTGACTAATCTCTACATACAGGGAATTACAGTAGTCCAGGCTGGAAGACACAAAAGCATGCATCACCCTTTCAAAATCACAAAAGGATAAAAACGGCTTGATCTTTGCCAATGTTCTTAATTGAAAAAAAAAAACTGATCTGTTTGCCAAATTTCAAGGCATCATCAAAAATTACACCTACATTTTTTTACCATAGATTTACAATAAATAGATAAAGGGCCTAAATCAATTGTGGATTCAGATGCACTGGAGGGTGCAAAAACAATCGTCTCAGATTTACATTTATTTAGGTGCAGAAAATTCATAGCCAACCATGTTTTGAAGTCCTTTAAGCATGTAAGAAGAGGCCCTAAGAAGTTGCCTTCCTTCTTTACTGGTACATAAATGTGCATATCATCAGTGTAGCAATGAAACAATATACCGTGTTTACTAAAAACAGACTCAATTGGAACCATGTGATGAAAACAAAATGACTCCCAAAATGGATCCTTGAGGGATCCCACATGTAAGAGAGGCAGACGATGATGAAAATTCCCCCAGGGTAACTGAAAAGCTCCTGTTGGTTAGATAGGACTTAAACCAGTTTAAAACAGTACCAAAAATCAACCGTTCAAGTCGAGCAATAAGGACTTCATGGTCTATGGTGTCAAAGGCTGCACTAAACAATCAGTCTGAGTCTAATATGGACTAATTTCTTTCTCTCTCACACACACATACATATATCGCATGCACACCCACACACTTATAAAGTCAGTTTCATAAAATGGTTTATTTTGTCTAATTTGAATCTGAAAAGTAAGACTGATTACAATATTGGTTCACTGCTAGTTAGTCAAACTAGTTCTTAAAGACACAGTCTTAACATAGTGGCTATGCTTATGCAACTGGTCTTAGTTTAGTAAACTTTCACAGAAGTTAAAAGTAATAGGCTTGTACTAAATTCCTTATTCGTTTTGTAAGGGTAGTCTCGTCAACATGCATGTGACGTAGTTGTGCATGTACAGAGTACTGACGGCAGTCCGCCAGAGCGGTTACAGTTTACTTTAAGTTTCATTTCTCTGCCGCTATTTTCAATGAGTGGTAAATGTGCGTGCATGAACACTAAACCACACTTGCCACCTCTGTTAATTTAACTGTATTACTGTAACATTAACTGTACAATGCTGGATGATGTAAATTGACACATCCTGAAGATATAAACCATTGAACAACCATCTTTCTCCTGTCGCACTTCTTGCTGGAGTTCCGTAGTGGACTAGCATTCCACCTAACTATAGAGAACAGATTCCTTTACAAGGCTATTATTAAATTTTAGTGTCTTGATTTTGATTCAATTAATATTTTGTAGTTCAAATGTATTGTAAAGTAATACATGCAATTAACCAAAACTTTTTATTTACTATTCTTTGTTTTTATACAGCCAGTTTAACTTATTGAAGACCCTGTCTGTGAACAAATAAAAAAATAACAAATAATAAAAATATTTAAGAATGATTTTAATTCAATTTTAATGATTGTTGCAACCATCACATGTTATGGGGTCAGTTGCAGCATTTTAATTTGTCTATTCAAGAGTTAATTGTACATTTATTATGATACAGTATGTAAACATGATACAGCAGTTTGGGGGATTAGTTGACAGATGTAGCTCAGTGTATTCAAATTTTGGCTTTCCAATGCAAACTGCCTCGGAGAAACTGAAATGCAATACGTGTTGCAACCATTACTACTCTCCACTATATTTGTACCTACTGCTGAAATCTGTATCTAAAAAGTATGGAAGCTTGTTCCCACCAAGGGATAAATAAAATAAAATAAAAAAATAAAATATTTTCTCACAATTTCAAGTTTATATCTCATAATGCACCTTTTTTTTTTCTCAAAATTTCATGTCATTTTGACCAGCTCAACTTAAACAATAACTAAAAACTTTTCGTTTAGGTTTTAATGCAGACATGCAATAAAGTTACTATAAAACAGCTGTGACAACTGCACTTACAGTTTAGAGAATGTTAAGACTGTTTGGAAATAAGATTTCTATAAATTAATACCATTACATTCTCCTCTCAAATAGATTCCTTGGCTGAGCCGAATGTAACTGTGCCGGTGCTCAGGGAGGGTGAGAAGGTGAATCTGACCTGCACTGCTCCAGCTCCCTGCCCCAGTCACCCTCCAAATGTAATCTGGGCTCCTGCATTAGGTGGTGATGTAACACAGAGGACACAGATGAACACTGATGGGACTCAAAGTGTTTCAGCCATCTTGAATTTCATCCCGTCGTTCCATCATCATGAGCTGAAAGTGAATTGTGTTTCCATTCATCCTCTACCCAGAGAGGACAAGCCCCTGCTCAGCCACAAGACCGTCATCCTCAGTTTGGAGTGTGAGATTTTAACCCAACACAGTTTGCAGATTTATTTTTATTTTTTTATTTATTAATACACACTCTCTTTCCTTTTTGGCCCACAGATCCTCCTAAGAAAACATGGATCTCTCTCACAGGCGTGGTCTGGCTTGGTAGTAATGTGACCCTCACCTGTCAAAGTAATGCCAACCCTCCCGCGTTCCACAGGTGGTTCCTGAAGAGAGCAGGTGTAGAGGAAGAACTGAACATCTCACATGCACTTTCCTTCACTGTGGCCCAAGATAACACTGGGGAATACATTTGTGAGGCGCAGAATCCATACGGTGCAAAGAACTCCACAAACCTACAGATCACTGTCCCAGGTCAGCCTGTGCTTGAGACTGTTTCACCATTTATTGTTACACTTCACTTTGGCCCAAGTCGTTCACACCAAATTGGAATTTATTATTTTTACAGTTGTTGTTTTTTTTATACATTCGCTAGGACCCATTTCTCAATATTTAAGTCACTTTTTCAAAACTTTTTACACAGTGAGCTCAAAAGCAGTCTATGTGGGCTAAACTGTGGATCATTTAATAATAATAAAAAATTTAAATAAGCTTTATTTTATAGTGCCTTTAAAAGCAGCTATATATTTGCTTTATAAAGCAGCGTTGCACAGTTGGTGGGGGAAATGAGTAGCATTACTTCAGTTTTGCTACTGTTCAAACAGAGAAAATTGTTATTCCTCCAAGTCTTTATTTCAGAAACACAATCAGAAAAGAAGCAAACATCAAGCTTTTAACAAGATTTTGAGTGTATATAGATCAATGTCAAAATGATAATGGAGGTAAAAGATGCCCAGGTGGTGATATATTGAAGAGTAAAGGACCCAATACTGGGGCCTGAGGAACACCAGCGAGTACCAGACTGATCTCAGATTTGTAACCACCCAAATGAACCGCAATGGTCAGTAAAATAAGATTTAAACCAGTTTAAGGCTGTGCCGAAAAAGCACTATCAAGACAAGTAAGTAAAAGACTATGATCAACAACGACACAGAGAAGTAGGATGACAGAAATTAAGCCATAATCAGATGCCATCAGCAAGTCTTTGGTAACTTTGACCAAGGCCGTTTCTGTACAGTGAAATTTATGAACACCTGCCTAAAGGGGTTCAAGTTATACAAGCTAGAGGCAACAGCTAATTATTTTTGCAAAGAACATAAGATTTAAGATGGTGTGATAATTGTTAATAGTTTCCAGGTCAGCTCTTTTTTGTTTGTTTTTTTACAGTAACAATTTTTAATGCCGCTTCTTTGTTTTTGCAGGCACATCCTTCACTACTTTCCTCTCACTTTTGGCAGTTTTATTATTGCTTGTATTTGCACTTCTTATTCTTATGACTTACAGAAGGTAGGATCTTGCTAGATTTTTTTTTAATTAAATATTTTATACATTTATTTATATTTGAGATAATGTTTTCTTGTTTTGGTATATGCAGGAATAAAGAACCAATCAGAAGTGTAAGTATGTTTTCTGCCATATGTTTTTCATGAAGTGTGTGTATATATTTGATTCAAATTACTTGATTAAAAAAAAAAACGTTTCTTTTCTGACTGTATTGTGCCTGTTGTGAGAGAAGTAAGAGAAGAGTAAGTTCACAGCTCATTTATCAATGCATTTCAGGAAACAAGCCAAGATCAGAACATTTATGCCAATATGCCTGCAAGTGCAGTGAAAAGCCAGCAGCTTAAGTCAAAGCCACGTGAAGACGAGAAGACCAGCGCCATTAACCCTGTATACACATTCAAACAGAATATCCCCGACGAAAGCATCTACGCAAACTGTTGAAGTGAAAAGTAGCATGTTTTAAACACCCGTTCATGGTTTACCAATGAACAATTAGTCTCTGCATGTCAGTAGTGTTCATTTTAATCAGTATTAACATATGGACACTTCCCAAAGATTATGATGTTCAGAACCATATCCTTGCTACTTCCTTTCTTTTTTTCAAAGAATGGAAATTCTCCAATTCTTCAACACTGAGAGACTTCTGCTTTCCTGTCTCAAACTTCTGTAACAAAAGGGATATTTGGAATTCTTAAAGGCACAGAAATGCTGATTGTGATCAAGGCCCGTAGGCCAACATGTGACATCGGGGGCATGCTAATTGTCACACCTTTAGTACAGTGGGTGAAGCTGTGCTATGCTGATTGGTCAGTTTGAATGTCTCACATTTGGGTTTTAGTCACATGGTCAAGAAGTGATAAAAGAAGACTGTAACTGTTGCTCCATCTCTTTTCCTGCCTGGCAATCTCTTCACTGGGGCTCTGCTCGCTCCTTTTCTTTCTCTCAGGAAACATTTCACATACTGTATATGATGTGTACTATATATGTTTTATCATCTATTTTGTAATTAATTCAAGCGTAACCATAAAATATTTACTGAAGAGTAGAGCCTGTGGTTAGGTTGACGATTGGCTGAAAACCATCAAAACTGTAGATGTTACTTCATTTAAAAAAAAGTGATGAATGTGAACTCTTCAGCACAGTGATAGTTTCAAGTACATGCAGGTGTGCTTGTGCTGAATGACTAGCTATAGCCTATATAAAATATGTATAATGTAAATAATGACAAAATATAAGAAACATTTCTATATATGCGTGTATGTACTGCATGAGTAAATATAAATATACAGTATATTTATACACATGCTGTACCATCTCTTATCCCATGTATATCTATGTTATAAAGAGTTTAACACGTTCAGTTGCTGAATATAAAATTAAATACATGATATACCAGTAAATATTTTGGCACATTTTTATTTTAACACTATACTCTGTATATTTTTGCTATATGCCGTTAAATCATTTATTATATTAGTCATTCATATACAAGGGTCTATGTATTTTGTCAGAGCACTGCCTCATCTGCCCATACAGACGAGCAGCGGCTGTTTGAGTCTCTGTCCCAGAGGAACTCTCTGCACGTCGCTGGCAATAATGAGTCTTATGGGAATGCCTAACACCGTCCCCTGGGTCAGAAAGCCGCACTGAGAAGACAGGGAGGGGGCTGAGGCAAGTATAGAATGGTAATGCAAACACCAGTGTTACATCACAAGAACCTTCCACTTCTTGAAAACTTAAAGCTTTTGAATCATATGCATGTTTTCAAGTCTTGTCAGTTTAAGCATTCAAGCGATTTTAAACTGAAAATGACTTCATACACAGTCTGGCACCTCAGTGCGCTATTACTTAAGTTCTCTTTTGCATCTAACCACGGTAGAATGGATAAATTAACATCAAATTAAGTCAAAATGTCCATTTTGGTGAGTATCCTCATAAGCCAAGTTTACAGAGTTAACGGAGTTAAAATAAGCAGTTGGGAGAAAATCTGATTAGTCAGATCTTTGGTCTTAAAGTTACAGCAGCTTAAAGGGATATTTCACCCAAAAATGAACTTTGTCATCATTTACTCACGCTCGATTTGTTTCAAACCTGTATGTATTTCTCTTTCTTCTGTTGAACTCAAAAGATATTTTTAATGAATGTTGGTAACCAAACAGCTGATGGCAGCTGTTGTCCCCATATTATGGAAGTCAATGACTACCTTCAACTGTCTGATCACCCACGTTCTTCCAAATATTTTGTGTGATTAAAGCTGTTTGTAAGAAACATCCATTAAGACATTTTTAAATTCAGAAAGTTGTTTCCACTCATCCAGAATATCTATTCATAACATTTGTATAATATTAATTTATTATGAATTTAATCCATATTAAACTTCACTTCGCTTGGCACTTAAAAACACTCTGGGGAATTACAGTAAATATTGTCGTTCTTAAGCACCAGGAGGCACTATAACTAAAATAAATATCTATTCACTCCACTGCCAGTTTTTACTTTGGATAATTTAAGATATGCAAGCATTTAGGGCCAGTTTTACTAACAGCTTGCGCCAGCGCAAACCGTCTTTTGGCATTAAAAAAAATAAATAATAAATAGTACTGTCAGGTTTGACTAAAGACGCGCAGTGAAGAATTAGCACTGAAAAGGCGTGGACAGTTATTTTTGCGCCTGACCTTATTGAATATGCATTTGTAGGAGTTTCCCTTTCAGACGCAAAATTTATGGGAGGAGAGTATTCACATGAATCACGAAACGCGTTTCACTAACGTTTGCGCTTGTCAAATTACTGGTATTTGCGCCATTATTTAACGCCCAAATAAAGCATGTCTTAAACTATTTTGCGCTTGAAATGGCTGCAATTGTTGCTAGGAGGAGGCACTGCAGAGAACAGAGCGCTTCGTAGAAGGGAGAGAATTTTTTCCACATGTATTCATTTATTTAGAAAGCAAGAACACCACATTGTCCAAACATATCGTTTGCCAAGCCATGTATTTTTAATTTGCTTCAGAAAATAAAAGACGACCTCGAAGTTCTGGAACCTATAGTCACGCAATACCAGGGGCAAGTACAAACCAAATGGCAACCTTCCGGTCTCTCTCGTGAAACCAACACGGAAGTGACTAAAACTGCAATTCATCGACTGGCCGCTACAAAAAGGGAGTCAGTCCCATAGACTCCATGTTAAAATGCCCAACTTTACAGCAGAGAAAAAAAAATAATAATTTACAGCCTGGTACAAAAAGTGGTTTTGGTCTATATAGCTAATTTTGCCTTTCATAACAATTGTGAGGGGGGGTGCATTTTTTTTATAACTCATCCGTTTAAATTATATTAAGCATTAAAGTTCTGCATAATTAAGGGCGTGGCCACTCGACTGACAGGTGGATTGCCGCTGCTGTCACCGCCATAGAGCTAGGTGGGCGTGGTTTCAGCAACCATCTCCCTTCTCTTTGCCCATTTTCAATTATCCGGGAGTGACACACTGCCAAGATGGCGACAGCCCGCTCCGCCCAATTTAGGCTTTGGGCAAAAACGCTCTTCAGAAACCTACGGGTGACGTCACGGACACTACGTCCATGTTTTTATACAATCTATGGTTCAAGCTCAAACCGGTGCACAACGTTTTGCTACAGTTTCCGGTTTGAACGACATGTTTCCTGGAAACGGTGTGCAACGGGGTTTGAGATACATTTTCTCTTGTTTGGTGGGCGTCAAATGTCAGCCCAATCAGCAGCAACATGTATATAAACCACGCGGTATTAAAAAGACAGCTCGCACAATGCAATTACCATCAAAATAAATTCACAAGAGCAAGAATATTGTTTGCACATGTTTATTTACATTGAAGGCAAAATAACTGAAATAAGAGCACAGCCTGACCTTATTGAATATGCATTTGTAGGAGTTTCCCTTTCAGACGCAAAATTTATGGGAGGAGAGTATTCACATGAATCACGAAACGCGTTTCACTAACGTTTGCGCTTGTCAAATTACTGGTATTTGCGCCATTATTTAACGCCCAAATAAAGCATGTCTTAAACTATTTTGCGCTTGAAATGGCTGCAATTGTTGCTAGGAGGAGGCACTGCAGAGAACAGAGCGCTTCGTAGAAGGGAGAGAATTTTTTCCACATGTATTCATTTATTTAGAAAGCAAGAACACCACATTGTCCAAACATATCGTTTGCCAAGCCATGTATTTTTAATTTGCTTCAGAAAATAAAAGACGACCTCGAAGTTCTGGAACCTATAGTCACGCAATACCAGGGGCAAGTACAAACCAAATGGCAACCTTCCGGTCTCTCTCGTGAAACCAACACGGAAGTGACTAAAACTGCAATTCATCGACTGGCCGCTACAAAAAGGGAGTCAGTCCCATAGACTCCATGTTAAAATGCCCAACTTTACAGCAGAGAAAAAAAAATAATAATTTACAGCCTGGTACAAAAAGTGGTTTTGGTCTATATAGCTAATTTTGCCTTTCATAACAATTGTGAGGGGGGGTGCATTTTTTTTATAACTCATCCGTTTAAATTATATTAAGCATTAAAGTTCTGCATAATTAAGGGCGTGGCCACTCGACTGACAGGTGGATTGCCGCTGCTGTCACCGCCATAGAGCTAGGTGGGCGTGGTTTCAGCAACCATCTCCCTTCTCTTTGCCCATTTTCAATTATCCGGGAGTGACACACTGCCAAGATGGCGACAGCCCGCTCCGCCCAATTTAGGCTTTGGGCAAAAACGCTCTTCAGAAACCTACGGGTGACGTCACGGACACTACGTCCATGTTTTTATACAATCTATGGTTCAAGCTCAAACCGGTGCACAACGTTTTGCTACAGTTTCCGGTTTGAACGACATGTGTCCTGGAAACGGTGTGCAACGGGGTTTGAGATACATTTTCTCTTGTTTGGTGGGCGTCAAATGTCAGCCCAATCAGCAGCAACATGTATATAAACCACGCGGTATTAAAAAGACAGCTCGCACAATGCAATTACCATCAAAATAAATTCACAAGAGCAAGAATATTGTTTGCACATGTCATTATTCAGCAAAAAAGAATGGAATAAATAAAAGCACAAGTTGTTGGAAAGTATGTATAAGGTGTCAATTATACTGTAAGTATTGTGTTAAAGCTTATAATAGCACCAATTGAATCAACACAAACAACATTTCTGAGGAAAAATATTAATTATAAGTAAGCTTACACTTATTCTAAGTTAGATCCACTATAGTATGCTGTTGCCGTATGGCAACATATCATAAAGTACCTTAAAATAATATTTTTTTTTCCAATTTTTTTTTTACAGCACTTCAAGTTAAGCCATTCTTAGAAAAGAAAAAGATTCAAATATTTTTTTCTATAGGTCTATCATAATGCGTGCGGTATACAAACACTTTGTATATTGCGTTAGTCGATAGTAAATGATGCGAGTGTTTTTTTTTTTAATTTGCGCGTTATAGATGCCTTGGTCAATGAGGGGGGGAAAAATAAAAAAAAACACAATGCAATTACCATCAAAATAAATTCACAAGAGCAAGAATATTGTTTGCACATGTTTATTTACATTGAAGGCAAAATAACTGAAATAAGAGCACAAGTATAGATCTGGAACTTCAAGTCCGTCTAAATATCATTTAGTAATATCAATGTCTTCTGGTCCATCCTTTCCTTAGGAAGGTGTGCTAGACACTGATTAATGTAGCATAAAAATGCATATTTATATAATTTTGCTATTGTATTGTGGAATGACACTTTCATAAACTTTTCTATAGCCTACTCTTCTGATTAAATAATGGTAAATATTACAGTATCATAGTATAACAACAGTGATCAGCAATAATGATAAGCCTAATACTCACAATACAAAATAATAAGGTCATATAGATCATAACACCATCTCGGAGGTAAGTGGATTATCCTTCACCTGAAATGTTAGTCTTTTCATCCTGAAATGCGAGGCAAATGTTGGATCACAATAATTAGGAACCACAGTTTCCACAAATCCCTTCACTCAATTGGGATGTTCTCTTTTATTCTGGAAGGCAAGGGCAGTGACTAACATCAAGCGTATTTTGCGGTATTAAACACGTATTTACACAGATTTCATCAGGCTCCGAGAACTCTTCAAAAAGAACACAAAGAATGGCCTTCTCAGCTGCCATAGTTGCAACTCTTGCGTCATCAAACAGGGTGTTCAACGCACCACCGTTGCAGTTAAAAAAAAAACGTTTCGCACCATTTTGTCGGGGCTGAACGCAGCCCAGCTGTATCAAAACTTCAAGCAAACCTTCATTTTTTTTTTTGGGCCTTCGGTTCTTTTCAACATGTGGCTTCTTTATTTCGTATACGTTAATTTGTATTTTTTAATTTGCGCGTTATAGATGCCTTGGTCAATGAGGGGGGGAAAAATAAAAAAAAAAAAAATAAATTGCTGCTGCAAAATCTGACCTCATAAAACCATATCCACTTCACCTACTTAAATGTAATTACCTAACTTAATCATTAAAATAACACAAAAAAAAAAAAGTACTGAAATTAATACGCGTCTTAGATTACCGCAAAACTGTTCATGTAAATATAGAAAAGAAAACCAACTAGATAACTTTACCTAGCATGCCAACAAAACAATGGTAACAGCAGAGGCATCCCAAATATTCTGAATTTACCCTATATTTCAACACTTTTACGAGCAAACACTACGTTTCTCAGGGGAGTGAAATACATTTCCAAGAGAATGCAAAATGCAAATGTTTTGTTAGCAAACACAAAAGCATGGAAATATATAGATATTTTTTTATTCATCCATTTTATCTATTCTCATATGTGTTAAAGAATGCAGACCTTAAAAGCAGTACTTGTCCATTCGTGTCACGAGTAGTTCAACCACAGCTTCCTCATTACTTTGTCAGTGCCTGCTTCCTTCAGAATGCAATAAAAATAAAATACTTGAAGTAGAATCAGCAAATAGCATTGCGTTAGGTTCTTATTTCAGTTATAACACTCACTAAATAACTTTGTGAACTTAACATTGCGTTTTATTTGTGCAGTTCAATATAATTCACACAGACAAACCTGGACACTGCAAAGTGAAAACGCTATAACAGTCTAGACCAGTGATGGGCAAACTTGGCCCTTCCAGGCCACTTTCCTGCAGAGATTTGGTCCAACCCTGATAAAACTCACCTGCCTGTAGCTTTCTAGCCGTCTTGAAGACAATGATTAGCTGGTTCAGGTGTTTGATTAGGGTTGGAGCTAAACTCTGAAGGAAAGTGACCTGGAAGGGCCAAGTTTGCCCACCCCTGGTCTAGACCCATTAAATCAGGGGTGCCCAAACTCGGTCCTGGAGGGCCGGTGTCCTGCAGAGTTTAGCTCCAACTTGCCTCAACACACCTGCTGGGAAGTTTCTATGCCTAGTAAGAGGTTGATTAGCTGGTTCAGGGGTGTCTAATTGGGGTTGGATCTAAACTCTGCAGGACATCGGCCCTCCAGGACTGAGTTTGGGCACCCCTGCATTAAATTAGTTTAAGCATATACAGCCTGAACCTCAAAAATATACATAATTCATCTCATACTTTGCTACATTTTTTATATTTATCTCTAGGTTTAGTAGACAAGGCACTCATGTATAAAAATGCCACAGATAACGATGGTAGTCACAACAGTTATCACAGATCACTAGTCTGAGAAATGAAGGAAGAAAGAAAGAAAAAAAAAGTCATCTTCCACAATGCTAACGTTCCAGGAAATGTGGTTCCCAAGAACAGTCATTTCAAGCAATACTGCCACCCTTGCATTTTACTCACACCAATCTCATTTCACACATACAAATTTGTTAAATAGTCTCTCACAGAACATATGGTGAAGAATGCTTATGTCAACAGGTTTTAATTCTAGAATAGGTCCAAAATAGGACATACTGTACAGAGGTAGTGTGAATCAATCCATCAGCTTCAGTAGTATTGCATATCCTAAGGTTACAATCACACTGCAAAAACCAGTGCTCAATTCCGATTTTTTGGTCAGATCTGATTTTTATATGGCTGTGCACATTATCATGTTTTAAATGTGGCCAATATCAGACTCCAGAGTGAACGAATGACGTAAGTCACATGAATTCCGATACGGTCGCATTGCAAAACATCTGACCTGAATCGATTTAGGACCACACATGAAAGTGGCCCAAAACAGAAGCAAAAAGATCAGATTTCATGTGGTTTGTGCGGTTCACGCTACCATGAAATAAAATGACGTGGGTCACATGAGCACCATTAAAAAATAACAAATTCTACATTGGGCCACATTTTTGCAGTGTGAATGTAGCCAGTATGAGACTGAATCAAAATGCCCTCATGTCATTCTAAACCTGTAAGACTTCCTTCTGTGAACCACAAAAGAGGGTATTTTGAATAACGGTAGCCATTGACTTCCACCGAGTAGAGTACACGACTTTGACTTTCTGGGTGAAAGGTCCCTTTAAAATTCTACGGTTGGTGTTTCCATGCATGTCTTTCCTGGTTTTGATTTGAATAAAAGTGCATTTTAAAATTGTGATCCATTCAGCATACATCATGCCACTTCACTATACACCATGTATTTTATGGAAACATTCCTCAAAAATGTGTGTTCCGCAGAACAAAGCAAAGCTTGTTCTGTACGAGTTTGGAATGACATGAGTAAATGATTAAATTAATTACCTATAAAAGCTAACCTTGCTCAGTTGCACAGAAACATAAGATGGTGTTGGACACCACTTTTCTTTCAAGTATAATATTCAAAGAAAAAAAAACAAAAAGAGTCTTCATCCAGAGTCTCTTAAGCGGTACCTTTAATGCTCAGCATTTTCCCCATGTTACCCTCCAAAAAGTTTCACCAGGTTATTCTTTTCCAACATGGGTTTTATCAAGCACTACAGCTGAACTCAATGGGGTTTAATAGTTTACAAACATCAGCAGGTCAGCATGGCACTGTGCATATTTCTCCACAGTCTCATGGTCTGCTGAGGGTCACGCTGGTGCACCAGGAGCAGGTCTTTGTGTACACAGGGGTTCTCCCGGTCTTGTTCCCGAATATCAAAGGTCTTGAAACCGTCGTGTTTCGTTGCAGTGATTCCAAGTGCCTTGAAGCACATCCCATTGTAGACATCATCAATTGGGAAAAAAGGTATGTAAAAGGAAACGTGGTAAAGAGACGGAAGAAGGTTCCCAGAAAAAAGGAATCCACCGCCACCAGCATAAGGAGGGTAAGGACCTTCATAGAACGACTGAGGAACATAATATTTAATTTTAGGGTCCCGTAACGGGCTGGCATCAGAAATGATCTGCCCGGTGTACAACGCCGTGGCCTGCTCTGGCTCCAGAGACTGCAGATGATTCAGTATCGCTTGAGTGTTAGCAAAAACATCATCGTCACCCTTAAAAACGAAAGATACGTGAGGACAGTTATCAAGCATCCACTTGAAGAACACATGCTCCTTGAGAGTCAGGTTGTAAAAGGAGTCATGAAAATCCCAGATGAGGAGATCTTGAAACTGCTGAGCTTCAAATGAAACCAGTTTGTCGAGATTGGGATCATCCGCTGATGATCGGCCCAGCAGAAAGACAGTTTGTACCTGAAGTCCGTTTTCATACAAGCCTTCACTTCCCCAGGTCTCTCGGACTGCTTGGCGCCTCTCGAAGTGCTTTGGAATGGATTTGATTGCAAAAAGTAGGAAAATTTGATCCGGTCCGCTCTCTGATGCACACTTGTCAGGCTGATCGATAAGAAGTGGTGGGTCTCGACACTCCATGCCTCTAAGGAAGTCTCCGTAAAGTGGAGGGTATGACTGAATATCCTGAATGTTGGTTTGTAGCAACTCAAAACTCTCAGGCTGACAGTGAAACTTATCACGTGGGTCTTTGTGCGTTTGATTGTCGATGGAGTCGAACTGCCGGAGGAGAGAATGAAGCTTCCGGTTCCAGAAGGCACCGTTTTTGGGAACGCCTTTTCTGAAAGTCTCAGAAATCGTTAGTGGTGGAAGCTCATACAGCATGGCACTTTTGCTTTTCTTTTTGACAGTGCTTATCACTACAGTTGTGGGTTTTCTTGGCGTGGAAGCTGGAACTGAAGGGATCTTAGCCAAGTCTTTTTGGCTGTGTTCCACAACCTTTAGCTTGGAAAAGATGATGACAATGCAAAAGCTGCTAGCTAGTGCAACGATTAGCAATTTCATATACTTCCTTTTCATTTTACAACGGTTAAAAGCAGCGTACTCTTGAGAAGCAAATAAGGACGTTGGTCTTTACAGGAAATGGTGGGGATTGACGCTACAGAATGTACTTGTTTTAAACATTCATCTTCCACTGAATTCAGTTTCTTCAATCATATTCCCATTGATGTCAAGTTCAGCTGTGAGCCTAGCAGACACAAGAAACAGTAACGCAAGTGAAGATCTCAAGAACGTTAGTCAAACAGGAGTGCGTGCAGCTTTACGTAGCATACCAAATAACACCAGACTGTTTCCTCTGTGGTTTGTGTGGGTGACAAATGTTGTCGGTCTAAGTCTTGCTTTAACATTTATGAACTGGCAAACGGTTAAGGTGCAATTCACTCAAATTAAAATTCTGTCATTTATTAAACCTCATGTTAGTCCAAAGCTGCATGCATGCATTTCTTTAATTATATGGACAAAAGTAACCAACACATTTTTCAAAATCCAGAGAAGTCAGTCATACAGGTTGGAACGACATGAGGGGGATTAATGACAGTTCTAATTTTTGAGTGAACTATACCTCTTCAATAACACTGACTGAAACTGGGGATAGAGCTGTCAACACCAATAATACCATACATCAAATGTATTACTACTACTAGTTTGTTCTTACTGTTAGCATAATTAACAATTTTTTTATGTGGATCTAAAATTAAACCCAACCTTTTAATTTATTGGAAAACTGGTCTCAGGTGATTAATTAAACAGCACAGGTTCTAAAATGAAGTACACTTCAGTCCCATGAGGACACTGCATTGAGCGCAGGGACAGATGATATACAGCTCCTGAGAGAAAGTGTATGCTATGGTCGTAAAACCCATGTAGATACTCCTTCAGTAAATATTTATATATGTCCTTCTGGAGGTGTATTCCTACCATATTGTTGTCTACCATGCCTGTCTTGGCTTATTATAGTTCATTGAAATATTAAACATGCTTCCCAAAAAATTTAATAAGCAAAATATGGTTTTATTTCCAAATTTAAAATGCATACCACAAATAAATATTTATGGTGGAATAATGCCTGCTGCTTCACTTACCGTTTTCACGGGCTTTGTAAGCTGCCTACTAAGACTAGCCTACATTTGTGCATGCAAGTCGAAAGGCACGCATTAGGTTGAGACACAGCCCGTTTTTTTTTTTTCCAGATATTCCTGAAAAGATCGTACTATGAAACACGGGGATACTAGTTTAGAAACTGCACTGATTTTGTATTGTGACAGAAAACTAACATTAATTTGTATAAAGCATGGTTTCTGCTAAAATACCTAAATAAGTAGATTTCTGAAAACTATCAGAATTTCACAATCGTATAGTGGTTCTCTATTAATACACTGCGGTGTTAACAATTTACTTAAGGATTTGAACACACGAATGTATCTAGGCTATAGCCTACTAATAGTAGGCTAATAGTTGAGGTTACTATAGTATTCAGCACTATAGCTACCGTTGCAAGTTTTTATGGGTGCTATACTGTCAGTTTGATTGAAAATGCCACTAACGTTGAACATTTCTCAAGATTTTGAACAGAACAATGAGGAAAAACATAACACTGCTTACCGTGTGAGCGTCTATTAACATTCTCAGTCCAAACTTCTCGTCTTGACAAAAGGAAACCACGTTGTCACCCACCACCACAGTGTGCGTGCTGTTTCACTGTAGTAGGCAAAAGCGATAAAAGTGCGACGTCAACCTGCCTCTTTTTTCCATCAGCACCTGACTGTCTGTGATTGGTGCTCATCAGCCAACACACCTGAGCACTTAATTAAGGTAATATTGTACCCTACCCGAGCGAAGGCTTTTTTTTTTAACAGAAGCGATTTTCTCTCATTCGAATGCTGAAGACCTTTGCTTGAGTGTTTAATGCGAATTGTGTTTTGATATAGGCCTATTGTAATGAATCTTTAGAACGGAGGGAATTAGTATTTCCAGGCCCGGTTTCAAAATTAAATACTAATACTAAATGTTCTAAGCGACAGTTCATAAACCATACACACCAACAAGAATAGCAATGCACACTGACAGACTTTTACTAGCCTACTTCAAGTCTACATTCCCCCCATTCTACATTCTTTAAAGCAGTGGTTCCCAACCCTGGTCCTGGAGGCACCCCATTTGCATGTGTCCTTAATCAAACACACCTGATTCAGGTCATCAGCTCATTAGTAGAGACTCCAAGACCTGAAACTGGTGTGTCAGAGAAAGGACACATGCAAAATGTGCAGTGTTGGGGTGCCTCCAGGACCAGGGTTGGGAACCACTGCTTTAAAGAACGTAAAAAGTTTTTAGTCTTGCCCTTTTTAAAACACTATTATTAGTGCCTTCTAAAGATGTACTAAAAAGTCACACTTAAGTGGTTTAAAAAAATCACTCAAAAGTTCAACTTAATGCATTTAATAACTTTAAAATGTGATACATTTTAAATTAATTACAAAAACAATGTACTTAAGCGGTGAAAACATTACATTTAATTTGCACGTACGTGTGTTCTTTATATTATTTCCGCAATAAGTACACTTTATAAAAGTATACTTAAGTGCGCTTCTTTTTCACAAGGGACTTGATGCATGTAAATGGTTGTATATGTGGGCCGCACCAACTTAAATAGAAAAAAATAGGGTCGCTCTTAAAAAAGTTTGAAAACCACTGCCTTAGAATTAAATAATAATAATAATAATCCCCAAACATTATTTTCTCAACTTGAGGGGTTGGACAATAACACTGAAACATTGGCCAATAGTAATGGAGGTTGTCAGGCCAGTCTTCACTGATTTTACTGTTTTTTACTGATTTACTTCACTGAAGTAGTAGCGCAATAGCACAGTTCTGCATAAAATATTGCAATCCACACAACATATCAGTTTCAATTGTTGGTGCACGTCTTGTGGCGCATCTGAACAGCAAGTCTTTGTGGTGTAAAGAGAGCTAGTATCCAGACTAATGTCAGCATACCACCATGAAGGATGAACCACATCTAACAGGAGTAGCTGTTATCGCAAGAGGAAGCTGTCCGAAAGGGATGTATGGGTTATTAACCTGGATTGTAGGTCCCCCCCCCAGAGTGGTCTGAGGAACATGAAACTGAAATTCATCTCCCATGACCACAGTCACCAGATCTGAATATTACTGAGCCACTTTGAGGGAGTGACCTGGCCACTGTTCTGCAAGATGAATAGCTTAGAATCCCTCTGGCATGTATCTGTCGTTCCCAAGATGAACTGATGCTGGACTGGTGGTAGAAGGAAGCCCTACACCATACTAATAATTATTGTGGTCTAAAACCAGGTGTTGCAGTTTCATTGCTTAACCCCTGTGTATATTTCTAAGTTAGCAATTTTGAGTATTAGCATTAAATATACATTATACATATAATCTATACGTTTACTTATTCTCTGACGTAAAATTTATTGTGATATTTTATATAATTAGATTGTGTCTCACAAACTCCAATCTGTGTTACATTGGCGCTACAGTAGGCTACTTGTCCTTTAAAATCTTTAGCATATGTGCTAAATCACATGACTTGATAGAAGTGACATCATTTCTTTGGAGGGAAAGCAAGTCCAGGAATAAAGACATACATTTTTTTCTTCCTTTTTAGAAGTGTGTGTGTGTGTGTATATATATATATTCTGGAGTATGACTGAAAGGACTGTAGTAGGTGAGGTCAGATATAGCCTTCCTCAAGGGGTGTCAGTCAAAACGCAGGGTCTGATCAGTTCCATCCAAAGAGTTTAATTTCAATTAGGACAGGAGAAATTTGCAACCAAAATGCACTCAACACAGCTGTACACGGGCATTACAGGTGATCAAATAGGTATTTGTTTGTGAGAGTGTGTAGTTTTTGTTCACTGACGCACATATCAACATGAATAGTCTTTGCACTATTCTCTAGCTCTTTCTGCACATTCTGACAGATCAAAGGTAGCGCATGCGCACCAACCAGGCCTTTACTTTTTTCTCAACAAATGTGTTTAGCTCACAATCCACCAAACAGTGAGAATGACCCTTAATTTTATTTGTATTTTATTTATTCAGGAAATAAACTTTATTAAACTAAAAGTCTCTTTTTCAGAATTGTTCTGGCCAAGATGAGCAGCTACAGAAGTTTTAAAAATGTTACAAATCAACAAACACCATATAAATACAAAGGCATAGCTTGATGACGCCGTGACTGAGTGTGGAACTGAGTTGTCGTCTTCATCCCCACAGCCGAGGCAGGCGACACAATGACACTATGGACACGCTCTGTGTCACTAGTTAAAATTGCTTATTTCTCTGGATTTAAACATTCTTCGAAACATTTGGGATAATGTAAGTACACAAGTCAGCAAAGTATATAACACTGTTCTAGTGGTTTTTGGATATTTTAATAAAAAAAAAAAATTACATATTGCACCATTAAAACATCTGCGATTCGAATCTTCCTTTACCAGAAATTATTTACCAGGAAACAATTAGTAAAGTATTTTAATCACTAGATGTGTCATAACAAAAAGCTTCTTTCCCTTGTTTCTTCTTACAAATGGAATTGAAAGGGTAAACAAGTTATATGTATGTAAAGAGCATGCATTAACAATTTACTGTGGAGTAAGAGAACAAACATATGACAATAGACCCAAAATGGATTTATAAATGAAGTAATGCTTCAGTTTGCATGTTGATAATGAAGACTAACATGCTATATTATACAACTCAGAATGAGTTCTAAAATGACAATTTGTTTTGAACCTGAGTGCACCATGATAGAGCATGTTTAAAGAACATTAAAAGCTGGCAGGTGCAAATGTATAACCATCTCCATAATCAAGAACTGGCAAAAAAGTAGCAGAAACTTTTTTCTGCCACCAATAAAAAATAGGCTTTATTTCTAAAATGAAAACTTGTGTTTCGACTGTAATTGATTTACATGAGAGTTAAAAGATAAAGATTCATCAAATATAAAACCACGATATTTGTATTCTGGCACTAACTCTATTACAGTGCTTTGTAAAGCACTAACCAGTATAGGGTTTGGTTTTAGTCCTTTATTTAACCAGGAAATAAACTTTAGTTTTCTTAGCTTTACTAAAAGAACAATGAATTAATAGCAAGACTAACCGTTACATATATTTACCAATGACATATGAACAATTACGACTGATTACAAGAAAGGCAGAAACAAGTATTTCTCCCTTTTTGGGAAGTCAATAAAAACACGCTGTATAGGTTGAATCAGTCCTTCTTTTACTCTTTTTCTTCTCCATATGTCAAAATAAAAAACAGGAATAGCATTTCAAATCATTTTTCAAGATTAGTCTACGCAGGAATCAGCAAGCAAAAAATAAGCAGATACAAGGTATGGTATTTCCGATAAGAATAAAAATACATATGCCACTACTAAAGAATTGAACAGAATGAACAAAGGTTTTTGTGCTCCGTAATACGGGTGCTCTGTGTCAGCCAGAGCACAAGGCATTTCTGAAGCTTGGTGTGCACAGCACCCCGTAATATTACTGTAGCTGGTTTCAGCTCTCATGCAACACTCCCTCAAATCTCATTTAAACCATCAGCCTTCCTTTCTTTAGTGTTCTCTGAGGTCTGGCGGTACGGCCGTGTCATAGAGAGAGAGAGGTAAAGCAAAGGCGTCAAGGCACTGAGAGTTGAGTTGGTGGTAAAACAGGGCAATAGTCAACCATCATACTGAAGTCACGGTGTTAAAGGCACAAGGCAGAGCGAGCGGCAAGGGGCAGAGGAGAGGAAGAGGATCTTAGCGAAGGTCACTTTCATCATCTTGTATGGATTTCTTGATACGAAGCAGCATGGTGGTGAGCCACTGATCCAGTCGTGAGATGGTGTCATACTCTTTTACCTGAAAGACCGAGAGAAATAACTGTGAAAATGATGAACAGCCCTGCTATTGTTCCTATGAATTGAAGCGACAGCCATTGATAGGCATGTCATACGGGTAGCTTAAAGGGGTCATATGATGCTGCTAAAAAGAACATTATTTTGTGTATTTGGTGTAATGAAATGTGTTTATGTGGTTTAAAGTAAAAAAAACACATTATTTTCCACATACTGTAAGAGCTTGTAACACTCCAAAGAGAAAGGAAAAATTGAAATCGCATCATATGACCCCTTTAACTAATTTTTTGTGAAACTAGGAAGCTATGGTAGTGAAATTATGCTTCTCTAGTGAAATGAGAATTGTTTAAGAGGTTTTATAAACAACAGAAAGGGCAAGTAAGCGCTTGTCTTACAGCGTCAGTATATGCATCCACATTCTGTTCTTCAAAGGCATCTAAAAGTTTCTGTTAAAACGAAAGAACATGTTAAGCACATAATTTATCCATCATCCCCCCGTCAGGACCACAATATGCTGCTGTTACCCAACACACTTCACAGACAGAATGATTGTGGTCTACAGTGGGGAAAATATTTATTTGATCCCCTGCTGATTTTGTAAGTTCGCGCACTTGCAAAGAAATGAAGGGTCTGGAATTTTTATGGTAGGTTTATTTTAACGGATAGAGACAGAATACCAACCAAAAAATCCAGAAACAAAAACACATTATATAAAGGTTAGAGATTGATTTGCATTTCAGTAAGTGAAATAAGTATTTGATCCCCTACCAACCAGCAAGAATTTTGGCTCCCACAGACTGGTTATGTGCCCATGTGGAACACAGATTAGTCCTGTCACTTTAAGAAGTTACTCCTAATGTCAGCTCGTTAGGTGTATAAGACACCTGTCCACACAATCTGTATCTTCCATTCCAACCTCTCCCACCACCATGGGCAAGACCAAAGTGCTGTCAAAGGATGTCAGAGACAAGATTGTAGATCTGCACGAGGCTGGAATGGGCTACAAGACCATCAGCAAGAAGCTAGGTGAGAAGGAGACAACTGTTAGTGCGATTATTCGGAAATGGAAGAAATACAAAATAACCATCAATCGACCTCGGTCTGGAGCTCAGTGCAAGATCTTGCCTCATGGGGTAAGGATGATCAGGAGAAAGGTGAGGGATCAGCCCCGAACTACACGGGAGGAGCTTGTTAATGATCTTAAGGCAGTTGGGACCACAGTCACCAAGCTAAACATTGGTAACACACTACGCCGCAATGGACTGAAATCCTGCAGCGCCTGCAAGGTCCCTCTGCTCAAGAAGGCACATGTACAGGCCCGCTTAAAGTTTGCCAATGAACATCTAAATGATTCAGAGAAGGCTTTGGAGAAAGTGCTGTGGTCAGATGAGAACAAAATTGAGCTCTTTGGCATTAACTCAACACGCCGTGTTTGGAGGGAGAGAAATGTTGACTATGACCCCAAGAACACCATCCCTACAGTCAAGCACGGAGGTGGAAACATTATGCTTGGGGCTGTTTTTCTGCTAAGGGTACAGGACGACGTCACCGCATTGAGGGGCAAATGGACGGGGCCATGTACTGTAAAATCTTGGACGAGAACCTCCTTCCCTCAGCCAGAACACTGAAGATGGGTCATGGATGGGTCTTCCAGCATGACAATGACCCGAAACATACCGCCAAGGCAACCAAGGAGTGGCTCAAGAAGAAGCACATTAAGGTCATGGTGTAGCCTAGCCAGTCTCCAGACCTCAATCCTATAGAAAATCTGTGGAGGGAGCTGAAACTTCGAGTTGCCAAATGACAGCCAAGAAACCTTAAGGATTTCGAAAGAATCTGTAAAGACTAGTGGACCAAAATCCCTTCTGAGATGTGTGCAAACCTGGTGACCAACTACAAAAACCGTCTTACCTCTGTGCTTGGTTTTTCTGCATCAAGTACTAAGTCCTGTTTTGCGTGGGGATCAAATACTTATTTCACTCACTGAAATGTGAATCAATTTCTAACCTTTATATAATGTGTTTTTTCTGGATTTTTTGGTTAGTATTCTGTCTCTATAAGTTAAAATAAACCTACCATAAAAATTACAGACCCTTCAGTAAGTGGGCAAACTTACAAAATCAGCAGGGGATCAAATAAATATTTTCCCCACTGTAGCATGTTTTTACAAGCTAAAAATACAGCAACCTCCGATCAAAAATGACTACTGTAAAAAAACAAAAACAATACAGTATTATAAAAACCTTTGATCAGCCATTACGTTTTATGGAATACTTTAATATGAATGAATAAATAAAAGTACAAAAATAAATAAAAACAAATTGAATGAATAACTAAAGAATAAATGTATGAATAAATCTTTATATACACATATATACGGTATTTAAAAAAAAAAGATAGTTAGGGGTTTGTTCAATTCCTCAGTATGGGCAATGAAATGTTCAAAATGTAGAACGCATTTAATAAGTTATTATTATTTTTTTTTTTTTAAACATTCCGGACAAGACACATTACAGAGGGAGACACATTGAAAAGGAGGGTTAAATTACAAATAATAATTAAACACACAAATAATAAATATATAAAAAATAATGTGATAATAACGGTTATGATGATAATACGGTGTATTTTATCAGTAATTTGACTTTTTTTTTCATTTTGTGCTGACATCCAGCCTTACCTTCACCAATTTGCATTCACGTGAATCTGAAAAGGCTGGAAACATTTCCTCGTACTTCTGGACGGCAAGCTACAAGGGAAGCATGAAGGACAAAGTATATGAAAGGGGACTGCAAACGACACAGCTGTTTTCCATCAGCTTGTTAAAAGATGTGGTTGTGGTGGGGTTTTCATACCTTAGCATTCAGCATGTCCACACAGAAGTGGCAGAGAGCTGCCTTAAAGAAATAGTCCTTTGCGCTGTATTTCAACAGAGTGCTGTCCATTGCATGTGTTGCAACCTGGTAACCCACCAACACAAATATAGAAACAACTTAACTAAATCTTTCCATGTGCAAAAAAGGGGGGCACAGATTTTATATGTAACTTCTTGTTTGGAGCGACTGTATAGTGACCGATACTTGATCCAACAGAGAAAATGCCTGTCAGGTAAAAAAACAGCTTATATTTCTTTCACAAGTTAATCTGGTGAGTTTCAGCTAAAAACTTTTTTCCTTTACTGAAATCCATTCAAAAATAGCAGATTACATTGTGAAAAATCTACATTTTCGCATATGCAAAAAACACACTTTGGGACAGCAACTTCTTCTTTCAGGCTGAAGTACAAATAGACAGTTTTGAGTAAATGTGACTGTATTCTCAAGATCTGTTTGTTAGTTAATGAAACCCTCACATGAGATTTGGTATGTTTTCATTTGAGGAAATGAATGATAACAGGACTAAAATGTGGTATAAACCGATGCTTTCACTTTTAACAGCTACCTTTATTTACATATCCAAAATCAGTGTTGGCTACACAGAGGCCAACTCTGTTTAAAGGGGTCATATGATGCTTTTTTAAAAGATCATTATTTTGTGTATTTGGTGTAACAGAATATGTTGACATGCTTTAATGTTCAAAAAACACATTATTTTTCAAATACTGTACATTATTGTAGGTCCTCTATGCCCCGCCTCTCTCAAACGCTTCGTTTTCTACAAAGTCCCTCCTTCCGACAAGTGCAGTCTGCTCTGATTGGCCAGCTGACCCAGTGCATTGTGATTGGCCGAACACCGCAAGCACTCGTCGGAAATGTAACGCCCCTTACCATAATCGCGAGCTTCATCTTTCAAAATAAATGTAAAGACAGAGCCCGAAAGGGGAACAGAGTCGCGTGACAGACACAGTGATGAAGCTGGTATGTGTTTGCAGTACACAAGCCACGGTTAAGACAGCTGACTCCACTGTGATGTGACCCTCTCGCTCTCTCTCTCTCTCGCTCTCTTTCTCTCTCTCGCTCTCTCTCTGGGCGGCATTATGCTAATATTGCCACATAGTGAGGTAGATATGTGGGGGCGTGTTAGAACGAGCCGTTTTGGGGGGTGTGGCAGAGTCTTAACTTTGATAAGTATATCTCTTTGGTTTTGAGACTTTAGTCTTTGCAACTTCAGGGATCTTATCTATGCACAATCAGCTTGTAACTCTCCAAAGAGAAAGGAAAACTTGAAATCGCATCATATGACCCCTTTAATGTAATATTTGTGATTAAACACTGATGACCTCTTATGGCATCTCCTAGGGGATCAGGTGTACTGAAACCAGACTGACGTGGATTTGTTTACCTGTTCATAGATCTCAATGGCTTTAGGGTACCGCTCCAGTTGAGCTGCATAGGTGGCAACTTTGAGCAGGCACTTGTTGGCTGAACTTTGACATCAGAGACAGAGCGAACAGGTTACAGACAGTTCTAGAGCATGACTTGGTTACAAAAATTCCCCCCAAATAAGATCACGTGATAATGAATAACAGGGTCGTATGTTGCCTGGAAGGTGGTATATCTCAATAATGGTACCGTAAATGTGAGACGGGGGCAAGGGTCTTTACTTTCAGCAAACATGCTCGCTATTCATTACATACTGATACTGTAATCAAAACCATTCACTTGAGAAGATCTAACTTTATAGGTAACCTATTTTCTACTGGTCTTTTCTGCATCATCATTTAGGATTGATAAGTCTTGAGCAATAGGAGCAAAAATAGCTTTAAAACTGCCATACCTTGTGGACTCCTCGCCTTTATAATAGTCTGCCGCCTGTTCATAGTGAGCTATTGCCTAAGGACAAGGTTATAAAGTACTCTGAATAAATCTTACTTTCTGATTCTGAATAAATATGATTATAATAATCTATCAATGTGACAAAAGAAATCTGACCTTGTCGATGTCAACCAGTTCGGTCTCATAAATTTCAGCAATAGTGACGTGGTGTTTCGCCGCGATAGTAAATCGACCCTACAAGACAAACAACAAGTACCACGTTTACAATCTAGGCATGACTAAATGCATAGTTTAGATAAAATCACTGATACTGATGACAGGTGAACAACAGCTTCAGTTTCTTACATTTTTAGCTGAAAAACACAATTGCCCGTTTTCCACCACTAAAAGCCACCAAAAATAGCAGATTATATTGATAAAACAATTTCAGCAAGCAAAATGTTTACATTTACAAAACAAAATAATAATAATAATCAGTTATTCAAGGTTTTACAAATATCATGAATTACCAATTAAAAAAGATAAAGTTTCAGGGTGTACTCACACTAGGCGTTTTGAACCGTGCCCGAGCACGTTTGACCCCCAAAGCCCGGTTCGTTTGACTAGTGTGAGCACTCCTCACGTTTAGCCGTCCCTGGCCCGGTTGGAAGAGGTGGGCCAGGGCACGGTTCGGTTGGGCTCGGTACGCATGCAGTGTGAGCACTAACCGCGCCGGAGCACGGATCGAATACTGTTTTGTGTGCGCTACTGTCATCATCACGACCGCAAACATATACTATTACTACTACACTTTTCAATTCATTTAATTCAATCAAGTATATTTAGGTTTATAATGGCTCTGGTTCTCACCTTATTGATGAACAGGAAATGTAGTTTGCGAGTAAAGCTGCAAATTATTTAATAAACGTCAGCTGCCTCCGTAATAATTCTCTGATACATACAAGTGAAAATCAATGCACAACACAAATTATAAATTAATTATTAATTATTCGACAGAATATTAGCAAAAGTGGTTTTCTCCGTTATCTCGCACATGACGTAAGCGTGCTCTGGCCCGGAAAGTTTAGTGCAAGTGTGAGTGCAGGCCAGCGGGGGAGTGGGGAGTGGGGATAATCGCGCTCGGGCTCGGTTCAAAGCAACCGTGCCTAGTGTGAGTACACCCTCAGAGTGATTAATCACTTAAACATTAGAGTTCTGTAGCCATATTCACAAAGAATTATATCTTAATACCTCCTTAAAGTTCTTGGCTAGGAGTTTTAGCTTAAAAGCTATTCATAAAACGCTTACTATTTTACTAAGAAACTGGTAATATAAGAGGTGGGGTTGACCTCTTTGCTACGGATGATGTCACAGTGGTTGGTAGAGATGTGTAGCAGGTAGACAGTGGGAAGGAGATATACATAACTATTTGAAAAACAAACACTTATACTATATATTAACATTCACAAAAAATCTTAAGACTAAAAATTGCTCCTAATGCAGAAGTTTTGGAGCAACTCATAAAAATAAGGGCGTCACACACACACACACACACACACACACACACACACACACACACACACACACACACACACACACACACACACGCGCTACATTCCCATGGCTAATTCTATTCAGTTTGCCTTAATCAATAAACTAATTAGTTATTATATTTTCCTAAAAGTCTTAAAATTAGGAGTGACATGTCCCTTATTTTAATGAATATTGCTCCTAAATTCTTAAGAGTTATACAGCCCCTGGTTAGTGCGCTCTAAACCACATGTATTGTGTTACAGTGCCCTCTAGTGGTGTATCAAGTCTTTTGCCATATGTTTTATGAAAAATTGCTTTGGATATGTCAAACAATTTCCAAAACAAATTTTCACCGCAAAAAGAAAAACAGATGAAAAGTGTCAAAATGATTCTGTACAACAAAAGCAGCTCTACTTTTATTTAAAACACAGCCCATCTACAGCCCTCGCAGATGAAAGAAAGCCTCTTACCATGTCTGTATAGATCTCAATGGCCCTGTTCAGGCAGTTTATGGCCTCTGTGGAGAGAACGACAGACAGCTGACTGAACCTTAACCATTTTCAATGATTCAACAATTTTAACACAGAAGTAAAAAGAACATTTTTTAGATTTTGTTGGTGCATAAAAAACAGTGGGTCTCATTCACTAATAACTATGTGGATTATTTGTATCTATATGCACAGGATGAAAAAAAATAAATCCACCTAATTCACAACACATGCATACTGTTAATGAATGTGGAGATTTTCAAAAGAGTGACCAAGCATCTAAAGTTAGCATCTAAAACACACCCAGAATACAGATGAATACCTTGAGGGTCTGATTTTTTAAAGGCATTGCCGGCATCAATGAAGTTTGTGGCTGCGTCATGTTTACTCTGCATCTGCAGGTATAGGAGCGCCGCCTGGGAGAAAGCGTTTCCTGCAGCTGACAACCACATACAACACAATGTAAATATTACAATACAAATATAATGTGCAATAGAAAGACATGCATAACCTGTAAGCTTCAACTAAAACTTGAAATGCACTTCTGTTCCATTCACACCTTTAAATTAAGACGACCAAATGACAAGTAGATTTGTATATTGATTTTTATGTTGAAGCTGAGTGCATGTCTTTACCACTCCAGTTCTTGGCCATCTTGAACATGTTTGCTGCCCTTCCATACAAGTCACAAGCATCCTCCATCTTTGAAGAGCCCCTAGTAAAATATAATATTATAATAATAAACATAATGATGATTTCTAACCTAATCACATTCCCAACACTCAAAAGTTTTTTTTTTCTGAAGTGTCCATATATATGGGTTAAAGATGAAGTCCTATTTTGGTGTCCACATCAAATGAAATTTCCATAGTTATGTTTCAAATAACTTCTGTGAAAATGTCAAAATATGGGTGAAAGCGTAACAGATATATTTATGTAAAAAATGAAACGACATGCTTATTCTGACACGTACTTATTAAAATATATCAAAGAAAATTAATCATACTAAATTGTATTATATTTTAAATTCTTGCTGACAAATAGGTAAAACCTAGTGGTTTGAGATTGTTAGATTTACAATTACAAAAATTAGTTTTGGGGGGCTGCACTGTGATCATTAAATGGGTATTTTAATGTCATTAATGATTCTTGTTCTAAGTAACGTTATGCCTGGCCAGATTTTTTTAGTATATGAACTACTGATACATTAAATGACATTTTAGTGGGTGTAAATCGTGGTAAAATGTATGCTAAAATAAAATAAACAGGTCACATTCAAATGTAAGGGGCAATAAAACAAAATTTAAAGCTGTATTGAACTATTATTGTTTTGATGCGCCAAAAACCTTGTTCGTCTTTGACCTATACATATAACATTTGTCATAAAAGACACATATTCAAGTTTTCCAAAATATCAACATTGATTATGGTTTCCCAGCTATTACAGGTTTGGTGGTTCTAAGTGTCTGAGCAGGTTAATGTGTTCATGTATGTCCAGTGATGTTGTAACTGGCTCAACTGGATGTCAGCTGACTCCTAGCAAAGCCTTACGTTTCACTTTCTCATCGTCTGACTATTTCATCATCAGTTTTATGGAAGCTTTACGCCAGATCACATGACTAGACCTCAACCGTAACAATATAAAGATATAAGGATAGACTTATACAGACTTAATATGATGACAATATTTAGGTTTATTACAATTAGTCGTTGCTCTAACTACATTACGAACTCACATCTGGAAAACAAATAGAAATTAAACTTACAAACGTTTAATATTAAATGTGGTTTCACACTCCACATCCAAACAATCTCATTTGGCTGGAGAAATTGTTTTAGACAATTTTTTCCCACTCTGATAATCACTTATATGAAGTTCGTGTTTGACAGCTAACTGACTAGCATGCTAACTGTCTGTTTACCCCGGTTGGCCTGTCAGCGGTGTGTTAAAAGTTATCAAACATACCCAAACAGAGAGCCAAAGAACGACTGCGAGGACTTCACTTTCTTCTCGGCTTCAGCCATGAGAACCATGGCCTCTTTTTCTTTCCCGGAGCTATCCATGAATATTGTTTACAGTTCAACTTTAGCAGCAGACTCTGGAATCCAGCCACATCAACACATCTCTGCGGAAACTTACAACATGTCCGTCTGCTGCCTCATTTCAAAATAAAGGTTGAGTTGAGCTTGGCCAAAAATAAAAACATAATTAATAACAAGAAACAACAATTACTTTAAAATAATATTTTATATATATATATATATATATATATATATATATTTGTATAAAAACAGCCTATATACTTTTATATATATTTTCTACTTTTTTTATCCAAAACAACTTGTTTATATAAAGAAAAAAAAAAACGTTTTTCCAATGAGTTTTGAGAACTGACAGTTACAGTAGAGCCTGACATATAAAATAATAGTCAATAAAAATCCAAAATGAAACAGTTCAAAACTTCAGACAAAATATTTATTATTATTTTAAAGTTTGCATGTGTTTTATGATTTGCATTATATTTGATACATCAGGCGTTTATGGCTCATATAGTATAATATAGTGAGAATATGGTAGTTTCTTGATTTTGTTGCATGCAAATTTAGTGCATTTTTATTTATTTGGACAAAAGTTAAAGGGATAGTTCACCCCAAAATGAAAATTTGATGTTTATCTGCTTACCCCCAGGGCATCCAAGATGTAG